GTGCTCGAGGGCTAGACAGAGTAACACACATTTTTTTTCTTCTACGGAGAATACAAGCTACTTGTCATAGCTGCGCTTGATTCTGCCTGCAAAACATAAGGCACTAGTGGCTGATCTCATGGAAATGACGATCAGCACCTGTACCACCAACTTCATAAAAACTAAGGTGCTAGAACTGGGGCTATTATGTAAGTGCAAAGAAGACCGTCATTCCAAAAGTTACAAACTTCACACGGTTTTATTGCCTAGTTTCAGCAGCTTCGACTGCGTTCACTTCTATATGAACAAACATTAGTATATGGCACTATGAAATGGCCATAATCTTGTTCTTCGAGATCCGGCGGATTCTTTTCTTGTATTCCGTTTTGATCGACTCTCCTTTTTCTGTGTACGACTGACTTCCTTCCAAACAGTTTAGTTTTCCAGTTGACAGCTTTTCTAAGACACTGCTTCCCCAAATCTTACGATTATCAATCTCGACCACAGCACATTTATCCAAACTGAATTCCACGTAAATACCTCCCAAAAAGATTCGTACGCTTTGGATCAGATTATCCAGTCCTTTTACTGAACATACAAATAATGTTAGTTCGTCCATATTCAAAGGATATGCTATTACACTACCTACTTTAAACTTATATCATTTGCTGGTGCCATTTAGCAAGTATATGAGCGGATTTAATGCCAAACAAAATACAGAATAGAAGAAGCAAAACTGAATCTGCCTGTGAAATTCCGGGCTTGGTCATCACCGATCCCAAGGATACTTTTTAACCTAGCAATGTTGTCCGCCACTGTTTCGTCGCTGCTTAGGCGAATTTTGTTAGACCGTCGTTGAAGTTGTTAAGTATCAGGCATTATAGCATCCAGTCATGTAGTACGAAGTCCAACGCCCTTCTAAAAGCAATTCAGGCCATGGCCATTTTTGTCTTTTTCATTACTTTAGGTGCCTTTCCGGCACACTTCTAGTTCAGGAAAATATGATGTTGTTCGCTTCGGGAGGATCGTAAACTACACCGGCTAACAAAGACGTTGGAAGGTATGTAATCAAACTGTAATTAGTCACAGTACCTTTACCCCTGTTCTTGTCCTTCATCCTTTTAACTAAAAAAGTAGCGATTGTTTAAGTACTCTCTGCAAGAATACTGCTGTTTGTCAGTGCAAATATGCTAGTTGTTTAAGCTAGAAAACATGCACCTGATCTTGGCTCGGGGTGTTCAGTTTTTCATATTTCTGGAAGTCTTTTGGGTATTCTTTTCGGTAAC